TTTTAAGGAAAAAAACTATATATAAACGACACAATAACAAGCATCACAGCCACATGAGAAAAAAATTCATTGATAGCTTCAGTTACATTCCATAAGTTGTACAATAACAAAGACCTATCAAAGACTACTGGGTGTACAATAACAAAGCCCTGTCTAGTACAGGTACAGCCCATAGTCAAGTCTAGAGCCCAACAGAAGATCTGTGATCATCAAGGTGCTCTACTATTGAGCACCCTCATGACCTACTAGGTCGTAGACAAGGAGAGCAAAGGACCAGGAAGCACCTCACAAAACTTCCACCAGCATCTTAGTGAGGTGCTTTACCTTCCCTACTGCCCCTCTCATGGTAGACAGGCAAGCAGAGGCGTGGAAGAGAAGCGCCGCCGTCGTCGCTGCTGCTCTAGAGGAAAGAGGATCGCTAGGGCATTGGAACTAATGAATCGGTAGCAGCAAGGCTGCGCAGGGCAGAAAGGTGGCAACTGTACATATAGACATCACATTCCTAGCGGCCCTACGCTCATAGGAGCCACCACCGGCATCCCAGCAGCCCCAATGATGAAGCCTAGCAATACCAAACCACGGATACCAAAGTGCATTCAGTATCCCTAGCTTGCCCAAATAAGCGACCCCCCTTAATCGCAAAACTTCCACTAGCACCTAGATCGAGCATCCCCCGCTGTGCCTTGATGCAGGTTGTACCCAATCTTGAAGGCCTTCTCCCAACGTCGCCGCTGCTACCGGAGGAATTAGACAAGGAGTGCCATGGCGATGAAGAAAAAAAGATGGTTGGCTCAAGAGCTTTGTCGATTTTTATCTATTGTAAAAGAGATCGAAGGAGTAAGAGTGTGTGGAATGAGGCCAAGAGGTGCACCCAAACCTAGCTTAAATAGGCCAACCTTCAAGATGGAGAAGCAGAAAGTAGCAGTTAAGATGTATGATCTAGGCATACGCATCAGGGAGACGAGGTATACAACGGTTCCTAGCGAAAGTGCTAAAACGGTGTAGAAAGTTGGGACATTCAATACTCACGCTGAATTTACCGCCGGTAGACCAAACGGTCTGAAAGGTCCTAAATGGCTAGAGGGGGTGAATAGACTAAATGGCGAAATAGTTAGTAACCTAAATGGCGAAATGCAATTTTGCTCTAGCTCTACAAGGGTTGCAAGACACCTATACCAACAATTCTAGTTGCTATGATCAATAGGCACATACAAGGCTATGTCTCTACTTTACTAACTAGTGAGCTAGCTAATTACAATTAGATAACCAACTAGACTAAGCTACACTAGTTACTCAACTACCTCTACACAAGATATCTCTAGGAATGTAAATACAAGAGGTAGAGAGATATACCAATCATGGCAAGAGACAATATGATCACCAAGTGAAATACCAATGAGAATCATGAGACAATTGACACCAAGATTTATCCCGAGGTTCACTTGCTTGCCGGCAAGCTACGTCCTCGTTGTGTCGACCATTCACTTGGTAGTTCACTAGCTAACTGGCACCATGCCAAGCCCTTCACTAGGGCGCCGCAAGAACCTACCTAAAGTGAGGGTAACTCAATGACACGAGCAATCCACTAGAATACATTTTGGCTCTCCATCGAGGAAAGGTCAAACAAGCAACCAATCGGAGCCGAAGACAATCACCAACTCCGCTTAACAATCCTCCAATCACTGGGCCATCTAGGTATCGGCAAACACCAAGAGTAACAAGATCACGATCAGCCCAAAGCGCCAACTAGTGCCACAAGATGATGCAAATCGATGCAATGCACTAGAGGCTCACCAATCTCACTCAAATGATGAAATCAAGTGTGCAAGTAAGTGGATTGTGTTTGCTCAGCTCCCAAAGGGTGTTCTAAAGTGTATGAAGTGCCAAGAGAGTGGCCAAGACCGTCCACCACCTCTATTTATAGCCACACAAGCAAATAGAGCCGCTACCCCTTTGGAGCAGATTCTATGAGGGCATCGGACAGGGCGGTGTGCCATCGCCATAAGGGTGGCGGTGCCCCTCCAACGGTCATCCAAGGGCTAGTTTGACTAGCCGTCGGGCATCGCATAGGGGTAGTGGTGACCACCCAGTCCCACCCTCGAAAACCCTACTCTTTGAAAAAATAGGGCAGTGCACTGCCCTATGGAGGGCGGTGCCCCCTTGGCCCAAGCTCCGTTTTCCCCGATCTCTGGAGAAAAGGGGCGGTAGCACCAGACAGCCCCCAGCGGTGTACACCGGCAGAGGCGGTGCCACCCCCTTCTCTGCTACTCTAGCCTGAGGCCAAACAGTCACTGCCCTAGGGGTGCGGTGCACCGGAGAAGGCACGGCGGTGCCCCCCAGGGCAGCACACCGAGCATGATTTCGCCTCATTTCAATCCACGTTAAACCAAGCAACTTTCCGCAAGCGATTCTAGCTCTCAAAGTGTTTGTCCTAAACATGTTAGAGCCGAGTTAGCATTTCTCAAAAACATTTTTGATAAATATTTTTGCTTGCTCTCCGATGTGCACTAGGGCTAAATGCAATGCATGAAGTCCAACACCTAGTGGCACTAGATGACCGAATTGTCTAGTAGAGATCCCCTCTTAATAGTACGGCCATCTATCCTAAACATGATCACACTCTCTATAATGTCTTGATCACCAAAACAAAATGATCCTATTGTTTATACCTTTGCCTTGAGCCATTTTATTTTTTCTCTTTCTTCTTTTCCATACTTGGAGCACTTTATCATCATCACATGTGGCCATCTCATCATTTCATGTGATCATCACCATCACTTGAGTGCCATCATGCTCCACAACTTGGGTGTACCAACCTATCTCACACATCACTTAGATTGCAAGGTTAGTTCATATAGGTTTCATCAATTATCCAAAACCAAACTAGAGCTTCTCAGTCATGTAGGGCCGGTGGCCATAATGCCTATCCCAGTCAACCCCACTAGCACCGCTGCATTGATGGTTCAACCGTCAGTGCTAGAAGTTTCATCTGCTAGTTGTATTCCTTTCCAGGCCTCCCTATCGATACAACCGATAGTGGAAGTATCACACCTTGCTTCTATCTCTACGGCGGTGAAACTAGCGATAGTGGTAACTCAATCTGTAGTAGTGGAAGGCCTTCAAGATTGGCTTCTAACACCATCTGGGCACAACTATGGCTGCCCGTCCTAGGTGCTAGTGGAAGCTTTGCAAAGACAATGGGGAATGCCGCTATTGGTTGCCCGAGGGTACTGATTACAAATTATGATCAGAGTTCCCATGGTGTGGCCATGGTGAACGTCGGCGAGGCCCCTGGGATGCTGATGGTTATATTACCATCAAAGCATCTACATTGGCCCTCAACGAGTGGGGCACACTTTGACATTGGTGGAGATCTTGTTGTCACCACATCAAAGTGTGCCCGCCGTGGCTGCTGGTGCCAGATCATCGTCTTCTGGCACCAGGTGATCCTCCTTACTCTTGGAGCAAGTGACGAATGCACGCCTCTCCCATACCTCTGCTGCATGTAGCTCTCGCATATAGGAGATGCTATTGAAGATTTGCGAGGTGGTGCCCTGTCCTAGCTCTGCTGGTCCATAGCCTAGTCCTTGTTGAGGTGCTAGTGGAGTTTTTTCTTGTATGTACAAGCACATCTGGCTTCTTTGCAGTGCTAGGTTGCAATCAAGTATGGGTAGTAACCATACTCGATGGGTCTTTGTTTTTGTACACCCAATAGTTTTTGGTAGGTCTTTGTTAGTGTGCACCTATCAAATATAAAAGAAGTTACCAATAAAGATTTAATTCAACAAAATATTACCTTATAGCAAAGTGTACTTGACTCATTCTAAGCCTTTTTCCTCTACTTAGTCGAGCATTTTATGCATTTTTTCAAGTACCTCGACCCGGTGGGTCTATTCGATAGGTGTAGCCATAAGACAATTTGACTTCCTTGCGCCTAATAACCTTCAAGTGGTATCTTTCGACTGAAGAGTTGGACGAGTGGTTCCAGTATGGGTCCACCAAGGAAATGACTATCGCATTGCAGCTTGGCAGCAGAGAATGTCATCCTTCGAGTTGCTATCAGGTAAAACAAAGGGCATCCATGCCTTAGTGTAAGAACACAGCTTAATAGACCTTGCGTGGGGAACGCCATAAACTCTTTTTTCTATGTCCGGGAGCCTTGTACTTGTCTAATTTTTATCGAGTTCATTTCTGATTCCCCCGTAGGGGCATGCCTCCCGAAGGTGTACTTGAAGCTCGCTTTGAATTCTCGAGAGATTTACTTGGCACATCGAGTACCAGAGGTCAGCCTGTTCGTTTGGCTGTGGCTTGTCATAAACGATCGTAAATTTTCAGTCGGAACATGTATTTTTCTCTCACACAAACCAGCCAGCAGTACTTCTTCACGAACCAACAACGATACGAACCAGCCAACCGAACAGACTTGTATTGTCAGCCCTTCCGAAGTCTCCCTCACTCTATATGGACCGGACCAGCCGACGATCCAAGTATTGGACCATCATGCCCAAGTATTCGATACAGAGCCGTTGGCTGGTCCGGGTTCACTAGAATAAAGTCGCTGCTCGCTCTACTATGATTTAGATCTCTTCAAGTTTTGCTGTTTGGTCGCATGACTGTTTGTACGTAATATAGTGCGTCTCAGGGGTTCCCGGTTGTGAGGGAAGGGGTCTCGGTAATTGTTTAATTACCGCGCTCGTTTGTACTACAAAATCTTTTTCCTCTTCACGAAAAACATGCTAAGGCATGGTCGTGAAAAAAAAATCACGTAAGATCTCTATACTACTATATTTTTCCTTTCAAATCGTGTCGTCATTATATACAACAGGCTTTTTATCATATACAAGAGCTCACATAGAAAGGCACTCTGTGCAGCAACAATGATGCACTGGCCGTATAGCAAAACTTGGCCTGAATGCACGTGTTTCTCTATCTCTGTCCGAATAGACTCCTAAATAATATCCGTATTCGTGTACCGTCATCAGTTCTGACAGTTCATCACCTCATGCTCCAATTCCGATGAACTTCAGCTGCAACACAAAACCACAAGTCAAGCTCGTTAGATGCCGACAAAATCGGCCGGGTCCCGACTTTCAGTTGCGTTAATAACGGGGCCGGGTCCCGACTTTCAGTTGCGTTAATAACTGGAATCTGGCTGAAAGGAAGGTTACAGCATCGGTCAAAACTCACAAGGTTGTTCTTGGGCTCCTTCCAATAGAAGCCGTGGATGAATATGGGCAAGATGTTGCAAGCGATCAGGACGTATATCATCAGTGCGTGCATCCCCATCCATTCCATGGCGACGGTCGTCCACCGATATCCGTAGATGTCGACCAGCGTGTAGATTCCAGAGAAGAGGAGCCCCGCGGCACCGGCGGTGGCTAAGGTGTAGCTCAGGGTGTACAATGGCTTGTTCATGTGCAGTCCTGGCAAAGAACACGAGCGGTCAATGGTAACGTTCTTGATGACTAGGAAAGAGAAATGTGCATGGCGGGTAGGCTCACTCTAGTAGTAGTGCTTACCAAAGAAGTCCATGGCCAAGGCTAGGACTAGCATGCTGAAGGAAGGGATTAGCCAGTTCATTATCCTCTCCCTGTGTTTCTGCGAAACAGATTTAGGAGAGAGCAAAGTTAAGGACTGTTGCACTGGTCAATGGTATGCTGATCAAACTGATATTGCAATTTGCAAGTACGGTACCTGAAAATGTACGATGATGTGTCCGTATTGGAGCCCAATCAAGCATGTGACAATGGCCATCACGGAACTGATGAGAGCAGAAAGAAACTACAGTCAGCATTTTCCGTGGCTGCAGAACTTGCATTACATCTACAAAAGGAAGATTTCAAGAAATGACGAAGAGTTTACTGACCTAAGAAGCCCTTCAGGGTCAAAAGGGGCCTGGCACCAAGAGGGAGCATCAGGAGGAAGGGGGCCATTTTGTGGCGAATCGATGCTGCATTGCTGCCACAGGACAAAAGAAACAGAGATTGTATAGACAAGAGGCAGAAATCTACTGAAGAAAAGAAATAGAAATGCTATTAAAAAGAACCTTGGATCGTGCATAAACCGGTCGGCCATAGAGATGCTGGATACCCAAGATTTTACGGTCGATCATGCCAACCGCATTGCAGCCTGGGCTGGTGTCACCTCTTACTCTACATTTCACCTAAGAAAGATTACGAATTTGAAGCTCATCAGTAACAATACTGAATAGTGTTCAGTGAACACCTTTTTTTTATGAACTGGCACTAGTTGTGGCAATTCAGTGAACACCTCTTAGCATAAAGAAATGATGAAGTAGAACTTACAAAGAAAGACTTCCCTATGGATCCAGGACCTGATGTCTGGTACTCCCAGTCAGGAACATAGGTACCGTACAACAGAGACATGTATGTGATCGCCACAACTGCCCCTACGAACCTGGATACAAAGCAGTATATTACAGTGTTAGAAACATAAGAACTGACTAATATCGAACAAAATGGTTCGTGATCTTTCCCATAGTGCAAACAAGGGAGTACTTTTGGTCTAAACTCACAGTTGGTAGCGGTATCGCTTGAGCAAATCGTATCCATAATCTACATCTTCATCTCCTTTGAGCCAAATTTCACAGAGGGCAGTCAACAGATAAGCTATCGCAATTCTCTGCAACCAAAAATACATGGCATCACTTACATACTTAGTTACTTACTAAACACCAATTTTATACTGTCAATGGACAAATACATAGCTCATAACAAAACGATATGCATTCCATATACCTGCAGTATACCCATCAGCCGTATTTCTTGAAGGTCAACCCCAAAAGTTAGACTGCGAACACCATGAAAGAATCCACCTGCGTAGTGCAGCGAAAAGGCATCAGATCAACCGCATTTTCATTTCCACAAGTGTACCTTTGGTCAGTTGAAGAAACATAGCAGTCTTCGTCATACCTTGTAGAACAAGACCAAGGCAAAACAGCTTCAGCGCACGGAGCACTGCCTTTTTCGTGGCGTCCAACTTGTCCGGGACTCTCTGTAAATAAAACAAATCAATAAGGTGACGCGATCGTTAGGTTTCGGCGAGTTATAGAGGTCACTGTTGGCGGTTTCAGAAACGAAAACGAAAGGGGGAACAAGCATCGCCATCTTGCTTTTACCAGCGCGCGTGTACTACCTTGTACGCGAGCGCCAGGGCGACTCCGACGATGAAAAGGAAGAAAGGCATGACAAAGTCGGCCACTGTTACGCCATCCCAGGGGGAGTGGTTCATCGCCGGAATGAATGCCCCGGCGTCATCGACGATGATCATCAGCTGCAACAACAGGAAAAGAAACTTTTGTTTCACTTCTGTTTGATTTTTAAACAAGTGTTTCATTTCAATGATGAAAATGATAGGGGACCAACGAAACATTATTATTTGATAAGTACCGGTGGTGGCTAAAGCAAGCATTTGCAAATCTATTTAGAGGCTAAAATATAATAACACGTTTGGTGAAGCTCTAGGCCACATCTGATCGCGCCAAAAGGACCAAATAAACCCAGAATATGCCGGTTGCCAGTGATTTTTTTCCTTACTATTAAATTTGTGGTTCTTGAATTACCGCTAATTTAAAAACACGTATGGTTATAAAATTTTGGGAAATGTAGGAAGGATTATTCGATGAAAAGTGATAACAACTTCACGTTACATATTCGTTTAGATAAAAAAGAAAACTTCACGTTGCATATGGTGGTGCGGCATCAGATTCCGAGCGCCAAATGCATTTCACGATCGAAAGACAAATATTCTAATCGGGGGAGAAAGCGCGCACGCTAGCCATTCCCGTCGGCACTCGGCAACACCATCAGATAGAAGTGTGGCAGTGGCACCGTGGCAACGCCAAGAACATTGCGTGATGCAAGTAGCTTAGCACTAGGACGGTGTTGCATGTTTCGTGGCAAGCACGCACTAATTGAGTATTGAGCCAGGATCCACACTAAATTGAGTCATGACGCAGACGAGTAATTAATCCCTACAAGGTTTTTCAGTCGATGATGACTTCATCTGTGCCGTCTACGCAAACTCCACGGCCATTGCAATTAATGCCGTGGTAGAAAAGATCAAAAGACGACCTTCTCTGTTGTCCAAAGCTAGGTGAATCACCAAAGCTAGAGCTTCACAGCGACGGGGACCTAACCGCCGACCGTGTCCCTCCCCGGGCAAAATTGCATGCCTAGCTTCTTCTTCTACTAGCTAGTACCCTGTCACCTTTCGCGTAGTGCCGTAGTGGTGAAGGAGTAATCAACCTCGACTGATTGGTGATGCCATGCCGTGCTCCACTACTCAACAAACAAGCTCAAAAGAAATAAAAAATCAGAGATGATGCTTGATATTTTAAGAGAGAAGAACTCATTCGGGTGGAGATGAGCATGGGCTAGACTAGATCGAGTAGAGCTAGTCAGCTAGACGTACCGGTCACTGTCGGCAAGGTATGTGCATATATAGGCGTATGTATGCGGTATATGCGTGGTTCCTGTGCATACCAACATGGGTGTGGAGCCAACTGCCGATCCATACCTCCAAAGAAGTCCAATTCTTCTTCAGAGCGTCAACCTTCACCAGGCTAGGCGACGGGCGAAAGGCTTTGTTCTGGTAAGACCGGTGGATTGACGGGGAGGACGTCGCCACCATCGCCCCATACCTTCACCAGAGAATTACGCAGCGGGTGCGACACACGTTAACAGTCAGACAAGGGCTCCATGACAGAAGATGGGTGCGCTGCATAAGTGGAGGTCTCTCAGTGCTCGAGCTCACTGACTACCTACATCTCTGGGCAGTCGTCGTGGACATCCATCTTGGCAATGAGCCTGATAAGACCATTTAGCGCTGGACGCCAGATGGATGCTACACCGCCAAATCAGCATACAACATGATGCACAGCGGATCCATCAAAATGCCAGGCCATAGATTGATCTGGAAAACGTGGGCTCCGCTACATGTCAAGATCTTCCTTTGGCTTGCCATGAAAAGACGACACTGGACCGGCGACAGAAGGGCGAGACACGGTCTCGAGGCACGTGAGCTATGCTACCTCTGCGACCAGGGACAGGAAACAATCGACCACATCATTGCGGTATGCCCATTCTCCCGTGAGGTGTGGTTCTATGTCCTACAAGCGCTCGGGCAGCAAGTTCCACCAGCCTCCCAAACGACGCTCTCCTGGTGGCGCCGATTGCGGTCAGTGTTCAACGGCAATCGGCGAAACGGCATGGACTCCCTCTTCGCCCTCGTCTCCTGGCAACTATGGAAGGAACGGAATGCAAGATGTTTCCGGGAGTCGACATCGACCGTCGGCGACCTACTGCACATCATCAAGGCCGAAGCTGACCACTGGATGCAGGCCGGAGCAGGCAGGCTACGTGCGCTGACGCAAGGCTAGGACGTCGTCAAGATAGCCATGGATCATGGATCAGGAACGTTTTATTTCATAATGTAGCGTGCACAAAAACTAACGGCCGAGAGCGGAACTCTTGTATTGTATTATAAACTCTTTCTTCTAATACAATGATATGCACACTCTGTGTATTCGAGAAAAAAAATGAACGTCGTCGTTGGGGACGTTGGCATCTGCTAAATCGGGACCAGCTGCTGTAGCAGGAGGGGGCGCCCCTGGGGATCCCATCAGATTTGCTCCATCCGTGCCCATCGTGCTATCTGCTCACCCGTCGGCCGTCGGCCTTAGACTGGGCAAATTGGGAACGTCGAGTCGGGCAGACGGGCACAGTCACACTGTGCTACTGCCTACTAGTAGTTCAAGATCATGGTTGCGGGAGACTCCTCCTCCCTGACACGATAGAACGGGTGGTGACGTGTGACATCTAAAGGTTGCTGCTCCACTTTTGAATCCGTCCGAGAGACTTCAGTGCAGGCTTATCACTGGATCTTGACTGATCTGCATTTTCGCAGTCCTCTTTATTTATCTCACGATGTCGGAGACCATCTGAGCCTAGAAGACTTTTGTCTGTTGCCGTGTAGCAGTCCGTCGAGGGTCGTCGCTCCGTCGAGCCTCGTAGCTGCGCTGTGTTTGCCTTGACCCCGACACTGTTGTTGCCAAGCTACGCATTCGCAAATGACGTGACGCGACCCATTCCCCAGACGAAGGCCGAGTACGGGTGACCGGGGTAGGACACCCGTATCAGGCCGGCCACACGATCTACGCGGCAGGGACAGGATTCTCCCTGCCCTGTCTGTTGCCGGTGGGTGCGGTCGTACGCCTCTGCGGCTCTGCGCCACACATCTGGTGGGCATCTATCTATCTGGCTGGCGCCAAGATCAGCAAGAGCAAGCAGGCAACAGCTGCAAGATCCTATCTTTCTCCGCCGGGGCCTTTCTTCAACCCATGCAAAGGAATTTCGGCGCCTTGTTGACCGTGTCTGAATCACGTCATTGTCATGTGTGGCTCACATGAAGCTGCCGGACGGGGCGCACGGGCAGGCGTTCCGAACTTTTGATCCATCCATGGCCGCACCGCATGTCGACGAGGTCCCCTGGCCTGTGCCTCATGCATCCGACGATTCCCGCGTTTCGTGCGTGGGCGGAGAACCCGTCGCGGGCCAAGCAAGAAAACCTAAAGAGAACGCCGTGGTTATGGTTGTGGTGGTGGACTGGTGGTGGCTTTGCCGATACATGCATGTGGAGCAGGCGCACCCGACGGCCGGCGGTGCGACAGGTGGAACCGATCCTCTCCTCCGGTTAAGCCCACCACCACCCCGCTCGTGGCGTTGGTTTACACGCGCTCCGGCCGCCGCGGTGCCGGGACTTGTTCCAGGCTCCCTGATGACGCGGTGCACCGACCCAACGATCCCTAGAGCACGGAACTGAGCTAGCTACCCCAACAACTACCCAAAGTATGGCCAAAAGCTAACGCGACGCGAGCGTGCCTGGACCGGGAGAGGGACGGACACCACGCTCGCCTATTGCAGATGCCGGCGCTCCCGGGCCCGGAGCGCCCGGCCGTCACATGGCAAAAGGCACCGCTCGTCTCATGGTGTCATGGGCTTGTCCCGACGTGGAGAGGCCACCGGCTGCTCGCCGACGCGACGCGGGCATGAGCACAGGGCATATGCTTTTCGGCGTCGCTGCTGGGTCTCCCGGGAATATGGCCCCCCGCCGCCCGGTCGCCCCACGCGGGCACGCCCAATGCGGCTCGTGCTCTACGTTTTTTTCCCCTGCAGCTACCCAACATTCTGTCCGTACTCCAGCTGTTTTCTGATCGCCGCACAGGCATGCCAGATCTCGCCCAACGACCAAACACTCATGATTTTCTCCTGTTCCAGACTGGTCAGCCAGTAGGACTAGGACGGGTTGCTACCCTCTAAGAGCAAGTATAATCACGTGACGTAGGTGAGCTACACGAGTTGCCACTTCAGATTTGTGATGAGTTGAAAGAGAGAAGATAAGAGAGAGAAAAACTGGCTGCGCACATATAGGGCAGTTTCAATAAAAAAAACTTTGATTGGTCGATTTCTTTGTTCATTCACTATTTAGGATGCTACCTAAGTAGAATGGTGATGTATCATCACAATTAAGGAAGAGAGAGGAGAACATTGTTTCTTATACAGGAAAACTATGTCTATATTAGGAACTAAGATTATAAAGAGATGTGATAAGTAGATGATAGGAGAGAAAAGATACATGATTACTTGATTAGATAAAAAAATATTTTGAAGATACTATTTATTAAGAATATGATTTTCTAAATGCAGTGTCTACATGACTTAGCAAGTGCTGTATCTAATAGTTTCTCAGTTCAGACTACCCTTATAGCTAGTTGATGCAAAGACTCCAAGACCATTTGTAAGAAAGTAAGTGAGCTACATATTAATAGTCAAGAACATTTGTAAGAGAGTAGGTGGGCTACATGTTAATAGTCATCCATGATATTTCGTCTCTTAGATATGTTCATCCATGATTCTAAGCATATTGATAAGTCAGAACTAGAAAGGCACAGATTCTAAGCATCAAATAAACAGAGCAGAGTCGAAAATGAGGGCACATCATTTATAGCATCTTGCACTCTTTCTATTCTTTACTCTCTTTTAAAAAGAAAACAAAATCTCCCAATTCCATCTTTAATCTCTCTTCGCTATATATTTGCAATACAAACTACATACATATACGCATATTCATCCCTATAAACATATGTTTATGCAAGCTACCCTTTCGAGCACCTCTACAATTCACTCCAGATCTAGCCCCTCTAACTAATTTTATTCTATATCCTAATTTCAGTACGCATCATGTCGCTCACTTTGCGAGAATATCTCTGCTACTATTACAGATCTAATCAATCATTTAAGGCGTGATTGGTTGCTTTGGTGATGGAGAGATAGTTCAGGATTGTGAGATGCATGCTCAAATCGTGCATCCAGTCGTGTTTGGTTGTCTTTATTGTTGGTCCAGTACGAGATGTGATCTTGATTGATTGCATGCATGGATAAGAGTTTTGAGTGTGTGACACATGAACCCTTATATTATGGGTGTATCATGTCGTCCTGCATCATGAGGGAAGTGAAAATTGAGAAGATGGAGCCGTGCGGGATGGTGGAGGGCAGCGGAATGAAACGAAACAGACAAAGCGTACGAGACGGGGAACCAAACACAACATAAGAATGAGTTGAAGCAGGCAAAGGGTGCAAGAATGGTCTGGTTCGGACAACCAATCAGCCCCTTAATCTGCTGTATATTGTATAAGCTGCATCGTGGAGGTACATGCACTCATCCAGTATTAAATGTCTGTTCATTTGGCTGATAAGCCATGGTTAAAAGTACTGTTGATTAATTTATTATGAGGGAAAAACACTATTTATTGGCTGGAAAAATACGACTTATAAAGCAAACAGGGCGCAAGATGGCATGGACAGGTGAGCTAGAGTTGACAAATTACCAATATTTTCTATGGGGTTCTTTTTTTTTCTACCCAGCTAAGGTAAGCAACAGCGACCGGAAGCCACTAAAAAATAAGATCAATCCGTGCATAAGCAGTTGGAGTAGATCTGAAGAACTTCCGTACGGTGTTGAACGCTGCCTTTCTTTTATCGCCAAAATGCCTGGGCCACAACCGAGCACCGACGGTTTTAGTGTCGAGTTGGGTGATGCGACAGGAGCAAGCTACTCACTCTTGCGAACCCGGCAAGCCACCAAGCCGGTGATTGTTAATCTTGTTCAGGTCTAAATAACAATATCTCCATCCATAGGCATCAAGACGGTGATCTGATCTAAGCTTCTGGCTGCCTATCGATAATAATGGCCACAGTAGTAACTGTCAACAGAAATAGACCGGCAGCCAGAAAAGCTCAGAACGGAGGATTTGCTGTTTGAGGAAGAAGAAGAAGAACTGGAGAGCAACAGGGTTGATGGCGGCATGGACGGACAGAATCGAAAGCCGTCGTGTCGCTCGATGCAGGCCTCACTGGCTGGTAATATTCCCTGATGATATATATAAAGCTAAAGCTTGTACTGATGGGTTTGTTTAAGCAACCCTATACTTCCTTTTGATTACTCCCGTTTAAGTACGAACAAAAAGGGCAAAAAGAAGAAAGCACACTGAACTACTACCGCTGTGCGCTACTACCACCACCACCACGCACGCATCATGATTATCCATGAACATGTGTGGTTGGCACCAAGACCAGATCGACAGCAGAGCAGAGACCCCACTCAGCAAGCAAGCAAAGCAAGCAATTCGATTTGGTAGTAGGGAATTAAAACGTATAGCCAGCCAACCATTCAATCAAATAGCACTATATCAGGAAGGATCGAGCAAGCAGGGGAGGGAGGATAGATGCGAGTGGTTTGTTGTACGCACCAGCACGGTGATCCCACGGAACACGTCGAGCGAGACGAGGCGCTGCTGCCGAGTCGACGCCGGCGCCGGCGGAGAGGGCGTGGACCCGCCGCGACGCTTGGGGTAGTCGTCATCGCATGGCGCGGTGGTGCCGCCGGCCTCCAGATCCACGGCGATGGCGGCAGGCGCATCGTCGCTGCGGACGAGCTCGTAGCCCCCCATCGCCCCCGCTCCCGGCCGCTGGCCGCCGCACGACTCCGGCGACGCCCCTGCATTGGCCGCAGCAGCGCCCATGAGCACCAGGCACGTACGCACGCACGCGTGCCCCCGGCCCCCGCGAGGCGATGGAAGACGAAAGAACAAGCCCCCAGCCGCGCGCGGTCCGGCAACACAGCTACAACAAGTGCGTGACAACAAGATGCGGCACGGAAGGCGCCCGCTCACCTGACAACTTACTCCAACCACTTGCCGGCCTCCGACTCCGATTCCGCTGCTCGGAAGCTAGTGCCTCTGGCTGCCTTGCGTAGTGTTCTCGGTTCGCCCTTCACTTCACCGCAGCGATCCGCAGCTTTGCAGGGTTGACCGCCGCGAGATTGGCGAACGGGATATGTGTGCGACTGCGATATATATACGGGAAAAAAGCACCGGGCTTGCGTGCGTCCTCCGGACTTTGTCCCTTCGCCTCCGTATCCGGCTTCCTCGTGACGGTTCTTGTGTGCCGTCTCGTGGTGGCTACAATTGCGCACACGGCAGGTACACACACGTCGCGCCGCCTGGGTCCGTCGATCACGCGACAAGCCCTCGTTTCGGCCGATCGATCTCTCTCGGGCCGTTCGATTGGAACGTTTCCGCGCTCGCCTCTCCGCGCTTTTTTTTTTTTTGTGCATGCGGTGGTGGTGTGGTTAATGAGCAGGCAATCTATCGGGTGTAAATCAATTAATCTGTGCAAACTTGAAAACTACTGATTAGGACCATTAGATGCTGATTCAAAGAATAGGATGAGAGGTGAGATTTTTTGCGCTTAAGCCCCCCACTTGTCGGCCTTTTTTTTTACGCTTAAGCCCCATCACCCCATCCATCGGATCCGGGTAAGGACTGTTCAAGATCTCATTGAAACGATGTAAAAAAAAAGATCTCATTGAAACGGATAGAAAGAGGCGCTGCGTGTACGTTGTGCCAAGGCCGGACCGCCGGAGTCCCATCGTGCTCCCAATGCCACGTCACATACCGATTCCGTGTCAGCGTGCGACAAGTGCTAGCAGTTCTCGTGCTGCCAACTGCTTGCTATGGATCGATCAGGCTACCGGTAGACCAGATTTTTTCCTGCGTGCAAACAACAGTCCGGTTAATCATACGTGGCCACGGTACGGTATCATCATCAAACGGCCACTAATCGAACATGGCGGGGGTCTCGACCAATCGAATCGAATCCAGACGAAATGCACGGTTCGGGATCCAATGTCTTGATCATCATCACCACTGGCATATGGGATCGGAATGGGAGGCAGGAATCCCGACGGCACGTTCGCCAGTTGATGATGTCTCTAAGCTGAACCGCTGAGGCTGTGTGTGGGCATGAAAAGAAAAGGCCACATGGAGGCCTGTTAGAGCTGAGATAGGTCCAGGCCTGCCTAATGTGCCGGGCCTCATATCAATTGGGTCCAATGCCGAGTTTTGCGCTCAACGCTAGAGGGCCTGTGGGCTTCCACACCTGGGCCCAACAGCACAGGGTTCAAACCCAGTTGCACTTCACCTGCAGCCTGGAGGCTTAACCCACACCCACCCCTCAAAAAAAAAAACTAAGTGCAACTCCATCAGATTAAGGAAAAAAAAAACTAGATCCGCGGTGGCTAGATAGCCCCGGGTATTCCGGCTTAAGAAGAAAATCTTCTCACGCAAATTGAGAAAACCCCCGAACCCTTGCCCCACCCTTACACAGCGGCACCGTAGCTACGTGAGATGAGCTGGCCACAGACTTGTGCTTTGGATGTGGGACAGACGACGGAGTCTTTTTCCCTCCTGATCGTTGTGGCCGAAGCCACGAGAGTGAGTCCCTCAGGACTCGAACTCTGACCATCTCAGGATGGAGGTACTAAGCCTGCAGTGACCAACTCGGTCAGCCGGCTGTTCTCAATCTCCTTTTCTCTAAAAGTGATATATAGGGGAATAAGGTGAAAACAACCGTTCCAGTAGATCCCTTTCTCAGCCCCTTTTTCTATATTTTTTTCAATCCCTCAAAATCTCATCTCAATCCCTCAAATATAAGGAAGCAAGAAGTCTTTTTTTTCTCAATCTCCTTTAATTTCGTTCCTTCCTCGGTCTAGTGGACCATACTTTTCCTATACCTTTTTAGAGTTTTAGGGCATTGCCACTGTCTTAGCATTCAGCAAAGATAAAAACATTCAATTATAACTTTTAGGTGGGTTCCACCCCCCATCACCCACAGGAAAAAGCGACAAAACATTACAACTCCAAACTTAACCGACTCTCCTTAAACTTCTCCAGGCTCTCAACACGGCCAGCTAACCTGAAAACTCTTCCAGACTAGCACCTCTTTGGAACATCGGTTTCCGCCACGGGATTTCCACAAATTCCCTATACTCCATAAGTGTATTTTCTTAATCCCTATACTCTACAATTGGGTATCCTCGATCCAGTGGAGATGCTCCAATAAGTGATCATCTCCACAACCCCACACTCTAAAACATGGTCAATGAAACGATTTTTCATATCTTCTTTCAGAAACGAATCATCAAGGTGTGCTATGAACCGATGACAGCCTGAAGCCCAGAAGTCTGACGTACAACAAGCACATGCCTAACGCATGCATGTAAGCACATCTTTGTCAATGACTTTTACCCCATGGCCACTAAGGGCGCCACCAACGCAGGCTGACAAAGCTGTTAGCCTCATAAAAAAAAACTACAGCACACATAAGCAAGAGAACTCCCATTCCTCCCAACGCAGACACATAACTCTATTGCAGCTTTGAAATGGTCTAGTAGCTTTTTCACATGATGTGCAGGTGCCAGGGACACCACCCTCCTTCTCCAACGCGAGACTGAGCGGTGGCTTCAACTTTTGGTCAGATGAAGCACTTGCAGCGTCTGCAAGACCACCACTCCATCGGACATGAAAGCTATCAGCAAACGTGGAGGTTGGGACCACCACACACCGTGTCGCGTTGGGGCTGCTCTAACCCGGCAGACCGTTTCACGTGGTGAGAGAAACATGAAATGTTACATGCTATATGCCACGAATCAACCATACAACGGTCTCATTTTCCCGCGCGGCCGCGTCACTCCACCGCATCCGCGCTGCCGAGAAGCGCCAGACAGCACTGTGGCCTCCCGCGGTCCGCCACCGGCGACGTCCAGGCTCCGACACAACGAGAGACACGGATCGGGCAGCGGGGACGAGTCGACGACTCGAGATAGTCGGACGCGAAACTGAAACAAAGGCCCCCGCTGAAAACGGCCAAACCTCCCCGCGCGCCCGTCCATCCCACCGCATTGCACGGCCGCCCCCCGGCCTGCACGACGCAGCAGCCACGGCACGCGTCTCAGTCCACACACGCAGACCGCCCACCCCCCCCCCCTCCCATTCGGATAGGCCCCGCACCGGCAGGCGCGCTCCCGCCCCGAGCCCGACCGGCGAAGAACACCCCGCGGCGCGCGGTGGCGTGCGGTCAGAGCGGCGGAATCGAAGCCCCCCTCTGAAAAATCCCTTTCTTCGCCTCTCGCACGGCGCATCGCGTCTCCGATCATCCGCCCCCGCGCCGGTTCCCCCACCCTCCCCACCTTCCTTGCGTGCCGCGGCCACCTCCACTTCCTCAGTTCCCCCTCCCACTCACTCGATTCCCGATCCCAAACAGCGGCGCACGGCGCAAGCGCAACTAACCAATGTCATTTTTCTATTCGATTCGATTGCGTGCCGCTTTACAGCCACGCCTTGGAGCAGGTAGGAGAAGCCTATAATTGAAAGGAGCATCCAATCATCCACCGAGCTGATCGAAGAGGGGAAAAGGGACAATCGGACGATGGAGGCGTGCTGCTGCTCGTCCTCATCGGCGCCGTCGGCGTCCATCCTCGCCGCCGCGCCGGACGCGGCGGCCCTCCGCCGCCGCATCTCCGCGGCGGCGGCGGGCGGGAGGACGCCGGCGGCGCGCCCGCTGCGCGCGTCCGCGGTGACGATGCTGGCCACCGCGGTCCCTTCGCGGCGGCGCGGGCCGGGCGTCGTCAGGGCGGTGTTCGAGCGGTTCACGGAGCGCGCGGTGAAGGCGGTGGTGTTCTCGCAGCGGGAGGCGCGCGGGATGGGGGACGAGACCGTCGCGCCGCACCACCTGCTGCTGGGCCTCGTCGCCGAGGACCGGACCCTCGTGGGGTTCCTCGGGTCCGGCCTCCGCGTCGACCGCGCGCGAGAGGCCTGCCGCGACGCCCTGGGTAAGGCCGGGCCCGCGCAGCCGGCCACCGGGATGGCCACGGACGTGCCATTCTCGGCTGCCAGCAAGCGCGTCTTCGAGGCCGCCGTCGAGTTCTCCAGGAACATGGGCTGCAATTTCATCTCGCCCGAGCACATTGCTCTCGGCCTCTTCCATCTGGACGATCCCACCACTAACAGAATCCTCAAGAGGTTGGTGCTGATCTTCTGTTCCATACTCCTCTCTATTAAGAAACTCTGCCATCGTTTTTGGTCAATGGTATATAAATCCTAATAATATGGCCAATTAGCAACAAGACACCAACCTTTTCAGTGCCTAATAACTTAATAAGTAAGCAATCAACCTCCTTTGGAGTGTGACAACAAATGCATTTAGTGACTTACAACTAGAACAATCAGGTAATAAGCTCTATAGACAACAAGCGACATAGCAAATTCAGCAGTCTGGCAGCTGTAAATGTAGCTACCAACCAGTAGCAACGTTTGGATGTAGTTGATGATCAGACTCTCAAAAGAAACTTTCGTTCGTTGTAGAGAAAATTAGATAAAAATTCCCCGTTTTGCTTTTCATTATTAGTGTGATTTACTGGTCCACTGCATCCGTTGTAGCTTAGGAGCAGATCCAAGTCAGCTAGCAAAGCAAGCACTTAACCGAGTCCAAGGAGAGCTTGCCAAAGATGGCAGGGAGCCTGTGGGGTTATCTTCTTTCAAAGTACGTGAGAAGTCTGCCGCGGGAGCTGGCAAGTCTGCAATTGTCAAATATTCAAATAAAAAGAAAGGTC